TTTTGAGCCAAATCAAAATTAATCTAAAAGATCAGATTCTATGGGGTAAATGAAGATTCTAATATGGCTATCTCTAATGATATTCAGCGACTTCACTTACTTTGTTAACCCCAACAAATCTTCTCGGCCTAAAATTAAAAAAGTCTATTTGTCCTCTCCTCCCGCAACAGCTGGGAAATACGAGATTGAACTTCAATTATAAAAAAAGGGCTGAAGCTTCTTGAAATATGAAGATCTCATTTACAAACATTTTAATTTTGAGATTAAAAGACTGTTTGATATAGCTTTCGTGTTGCTTTACTTTTCAGACATCAATCACAATTTAGTTTTATTGTGAGAATGATTAGTTAATGCGTACTACATAATAATTTAAAATTTTGAATATTATTAACTAAATTGTGTTATATTTATGTTAATTTAATATTTACTAAAATATTTTATATTATATTAAATTATTTAAATAGATTATGCATGGAACTGGACGGTTCTTAAAAATCAGGATGCGTTCAATGGTTGAACCGGCGGTTCAAACCGGTCACTGATTTGATGTTGGGCTAGTTTTTCATGAGAATCAAATCGACCATATGTCCATTTCATGGTTGAACCAGTCGAATCGGCCAACTCGGTCCGATTTTTAAAACTATTATAAAAACAACAAACCAAGACGAGAGATCACAATGAAACATCAAAGAACACAAGTGACTATAGTGAAGGATTTTCAAGATCGAGGACTAAGTACAACCCAAACTCAAGAACTAGAGTGTTATATACAACAACAACATCAAGTATATACAACAATAACATCAAGCTTTTATCCCACTACGTGGAGTCAACTTCATGAACACTTTTTCTCCATTGTATCCTATTAATAGTTAAATTCTCATTTAAATCTAATAAAGAAAGGTCATTTCTAATATTTTATAACCAAATCTTTTAAGGTCTACCTCTACTTTTTTTTAACATAAGTCAAATCTAATACATCTACTCTCCTAACAGGATCATCGGTAAGCCGTCGTTTTACATGACCAAAAAATCTAAGACGACTCTCTCTAATCTTATATGTCACTTGAGCTACTCCAACCTTCAAGGATATGCTCGTTTCGTATCCTGACTCTAAGTGTAAATCCAGTCATCCAACTTAGCATCCTCATCTCAGCAATACTTAACTTAATATTAAGCTTCTTTTTTAATGGCCAACATTCTGCGCCATAAAGCATTGCAGGTCTCACCGCCATCTTATAAAAATTTCCCTTCAATTTTAGTGGTACTTTTCTATCACACAAAAAATATGAAGCATTCCTTCACTTCAACCATCCAACTTGAATTCTACTAATAATACTCTAATCTATTGCACCATCACTTTGAATAATAAACTCGAGATATTTAAAACGTGTACTCGTATTAATGACTAAATTGTCCAAAGTCATAATCCTCTGACTATATCTAGTACTACTAAAATTACACTCAATATATTTAGTTTTAGAACTACTCGAATGAAAACATTTAGATTCTAAGATTAACCTCCATAATTCATTTTTTCAACTCCATCTCTAGTCTTATTAACAAGAAGAATATCATCAGCAAAAGCATACACCAGGGTACATCCTCTTACAAATGTCTACTAAAAACATCCATGACTAAAGCAAATAGATAAAGGCTTAAGGTTGATCCTTGATGTAATCCAACTGAAAAAGGAAAATACTTGATCAAGCCACCTTATGTTTGGACACAAGTAACAACTCCTGCATACATATCCCTAATAACTTGAATATAAGCATTATTAACCTCTTTCTTTCCTAGAACTCGCCATAGCACTTCTCTTGGAACTTTATCATATGTTTTCTCTAAATCATTAAATATCATATGTAGATCTTACTTGTTCTCTCTAAACCTCTTCAGCAAACCTCTCAATAAATGAATAACTTCCATGGTAGACCTACTCGTCATGAATCCAAATTGATTTTGAGAAATATTAGTATCACGCTGAAACCTATGCTCCACAACTCTCTTGCAAAATTTTAAAGAATGACACATCAACTTAATTTCTCTATAATTCTCACAATCTTGTGCATGACCTTTATTCTTAAAAATAGGAATCAACGCACTCATTCTCATCTAGCATCTTTTTAGTCTTCAAAATAATATTAAAAAGTTTAGCAAGCCAAAAAATTCCATCATCTCCTAAACATTTGCACCTCTATTGGAATACATAAGGTCCAACAGTTTTTCTACACTTCATTTTCCTTAAAGCTTCTCTAAATTCAGTTTTACTAATACGGCTATAAAAATAAAAATATCTATTTTTATTTAGAGTGCTAAGGTCAATAAAGTCGTTCGTATTCTCACGATCTTCATTGAAAAGCTTAGCAAAATATCTCATCCACCTTTGTTGAATATCCTCTTCTAAAAAAATCAACTTTTGATCTTCATCCTTAATGCACTTCACTTAAACTAAATCCTTTTTACACCAATCTCTTTGTTTGGCTAACTTATACATATATCTTTCGCCCTCTTCAGAATTTAATCTTAGCATCACATATTGTTTTCTTAGACACTTTACTAGCCCCTTTATATCTTTTCTAATTTTCAAAGTTTTTACATTTTAAGCAATTATTATAACCAAACTTCTTATTTTTTATCTTTTCTTACACATTTTGATTATATTACCAACTATTTTTATTATTAGGAGTTTTTGCTTTTGAAATTTCAAGCACATCATTTGCAACATTTTTAATATTAATAGTTACTTTTCCCAACATAACTTTCGCTTCCTCAGGCACGAACAAAATTAAGATCTCGAATCTTATTATAAAAAATATTTTAGCTCGTGTTCTTTAAATGCCCCCATCTAATCTTAGAACAACGTTTTACTATATTTTTTTATAGTATGCCCATTCATCTTAAAGTCTAAAACTAATAAGTGATGTTGGGTACATAAACTTTCACTCGGAATAACTTTACAATTTTTGTAATCTAAACGATCTATTCTTTTTATAAGAAAATAAATAATCTGAGTTTTATTATATACATTCTTATAAGTGATGAGATGTTCATATCTTTTTCTTAAATAAGATTTTAACAATTACAAAATCATAAGCTAAAGTAAAATCTAATATATTTTTATCACCTTCATTAGTCTCCCCAAACTCATAGCCACCATGAATACTTCTAAAATCCTCTACCTCTCTAACAACATGTCCATTTAAATCTTCTCCAATAAAAACTTTCTTCAAAAGATATCTTTTGAATTAATTCTTCCAAGTCATTCTAAAATTTTAATTTTAAACACATCAAAATCAACTTGAGGAGCATAAACAATTATAATATTAATAATCTTAGCATCACCAATAATCTTCAAAGTTATAATTTTGTCTCTAATTTTATCAATTTTTATGTCATTATCCTTCAAACTCTTATATATAATCACACATACACACATTTCTAATACGACTTTTATTAAAATACTAAAGTTTAAAATATAAATTATCAATTCCCTTAACCTTCTCTCCAACCCATTTATTTTCTTGAATGCATACAATATTTATCTTCCTATAAATCATAATATCAATTAATTCAATTAATTTGCATGAAAGAAAACCTACATTCCAAGATCATATACAAATTCCAATTTTATGAATTAGCTTCTTTGCCCACATCCGTCCATGATGTGGGAACCAATGCCTATTTAAAACTGTTCCCGGGCGTCGATGCAACGACCCTTGCACACTTCTCGTCGTATTCAAGCCATACAATACGTCGCTTCCAGGAAACAGTCTAGCATTAACACAATGCATTAAAAGATTCATTTCATGATTATTCGATAAATTTTACACTGACTGTCGATCACCAAATGCAACCCTCCATTTTTCGAACTTCTATTCGGTCCGGTGAACGTACGCTCCTCTACATTCGGCCACCAATATTTTAGCGTCACGTAGCATGAAGAAAAGTCGCCGACCCGACCCGCTATTTTTTGAGTTCTCGCACGTGCGTTTTTTTTTAAATCCTTGACGAGCCGAACAAAATCCCATCACTTTTTGGATATATTTCAAATACCTAGCAATACCGAGCAAATACCAAGTTGTACCTAATTTTTTCTAGCAATATCGAGCAAATACCTAGCAATACCGAGCAAATACCTAGCAATACCGAGCAAATACCGAGTTGTACTGAGTTTTTTCTAGCAATACCGAGCAAATCCCTAGCAATACCGAGCAAATCCTGAGCAAATACTGAGTTGTACCGAGTTGTAAAAAACTCGGTACAACTCGATATTTGCATGGTATTGGTCTTCACATAGCGGTATTTCTCATTTTTGCAAAGCAATACCAAACAAATACCGAGCAATACCGAGAAAATCGCGAACATAGCATTCCCGGGTTCCGCTCCGGGTCAAGTCGTCGGGCCGCGTGGTTTAGAGTAAGAGCACGTTGCGACATGTTATTGGCGGCCGAACGTAGCTCTACGTCCGGTCAGAAGATGTAATAATTGTTCCCATTTTTCTCATCTAAGACTTAGAACTTGACAATGACACTGTTAATTAGAGTGTCATATAGCTTAAATAAAATAGCATGAAGGTTTTCTTTTCTTTTTTTCTTTAATTTACCTGTCGCTACGATCTTATTTGATTTATGGCCTATTTGAGATATCTTTCAAGCATTTTTTTTTTTTTCAAACAACAACCACAATTTAATTTAGCTACTACTTGTGGCTTTTCAAAAATTTATATAGAAAAAAATTAACTTTTGCAACCATAATAAAAAAGTTATTTTCACATCCAACTTTATAAAATGTTGTAGTAATCTCAAATAGACCCTTAGTCCTTTTCCTTTTTCTACTTCACAACTTTATATGATGTAAAGAGGCGCATGCTATGTTATTGAAAAACAAACCCCAAACATTCCTTTTATTTTTTTTTTTTATAACATAGATAACACTTATGTCCTATAAAACTGATTTCATAACATCTAACAAGAAAATTAGAACAAGGAAAAAAAAAATGAAGCGAATATTGCTAAATAAAACAAGTCTAAAACATCAAATCAATATTGGTTAGATAAATGACAATAAAATGGCCTAGGAATAAGGCAATTTGCATAACAATCCAAACACATTTTAATGCACAAGATATTAAACAGAAGAAATATGCCATATACCGATGTGTAGATGCTGCGCACAACTATAAGCTTTGACAGTTGGGCGTCTTATACAATAAAAAGAAAAGCAAGCATGTAGAAGAAAAAGTTACTGAACTTAGCTTCCAGCTCCATCTGCTGGTACTGCAGGAGAACCATTACCATTTTTCTTGGAGGCACTGAACTGCTGAGAGACGGTCTTGCCCATGAATTTTCCAGCTTTGCTCAGGGCATGGATTCCGGAGCCTACAAGACCCACACCCGCACCCAGGCCCGAACCCACTAAACCGGCACCAGCGGTGACGCCTGTGCCCACCAGGGATGCTGCTCCGACCACCGTGCCACCTAGTACATCCACCGTGCTCCCTATAAGACCAGCAGCTTTCAGTTTCTTCTTCTCCTCCAATATTTTCTTCTCCTCTTCTAGAGCCTCCAATTGTTCCTCCTTTGAGAGTGCATGATAGAGCACCTATAAATATGGACAAGCAATTCTCATGACGCATATAAATTGTACCATTGAGGATCACTATTCTGTCTTCCAATCGACAACAAATAATCATTTGATTCAAAAGAGATTTATACACATACCATTAAAAACTTGGAAAATTTACATACATACACTTTATACCATCTTATTTATGTATCTAACATCCAAAACTTTAATATTACATACATACCATCCTATATTATTTTAATATCAAATATACCACTTATATTTGATATGAAAATGAACTATGGGTGGTATGTATGTAATATTAAAATTTTAGATATTAAATATGTACATAAACTAGTATAGGTTATATCTCCTAAAACTTCCTTATTTATAAAGCTAATACTTGGATTTTTAAAATGAACAAATGAAATCATGTATTTGCACTTGCAATGATCCAATCATCAACAAAATAATGTAAGTAGAAGACATGATTTGAGATTTTGTTGTGATCTTCAAGATTTGACTGGTATTGCTGTAAATTGAGGTAGTTGTTTGAAAATAGAGAATTTGGGTATTAGGCATGTAATTGCTCCCTATTCAAGTTATTAAGGATATATATGATTAAGCAATAATTATTTATATTTAAAAATGTTATTAAAGAATTATGATTACACCAAGGAGGCCGAAGATCAACATTAAGTTTGTAATTGTTTGCCTGGAAATGATTACAGAAGAAATTCATATTGAAAGATTTTATTTGGACAGTATATGATGTTGACAACTGAGCGAGATTCTTAGGTGAAATTTATAATAATGGTCAAAACCTGTAGAATATATGAGAAAACTGAAAAGTATTAACTAGGAAAAAATCCAAATTAATGACAGTTTTAGTGAATGCAAAATTGAATTTATCATTCAATATTGCTAGAAGATTACGTAATATATAATTGTGATAAGATTAAGTATTTAAGAAAAAGGAGACGTTGATAAGCACATATATTTTACAGTTAATAGAGTGGTTAAAATAGAGAATGCCAAATGAGTATTATATATTAATAGAATATCAAGGAAACTTTCTAAGTTTTAAAAAACTGCATTTAAACCAACTGAGCTTTATGGATATAAAGAATTTGCTTATAGCCAAGTTTTTGCCACAAAAAATTTACAAACACTATAAAGGATAGGAGTTAGCCGACCCCACGTAGTGGGATAAAGGCTTGATGTTGTTGTTGTTGTATAAAGGATAGGGCGATAAATGATATATTTAACAGATGATAGGAGTTAGGGCCGCGAACGAACCGAGTTGAGTCAAGTATGTGCGTGTTCATATTTTAGCTAGTTCATTTATTATCAACTTGTTCAAGTTTGGTTAGAGTTTGATTCGAGCTTTTTTGTTTGTGTTCAAGCTTAATTCATTTAAATTAATGGGTATTCATGTTTGGTTCGTGTTCGGTTCATTTCGTGCTTATCGAGCTTTAAACAAACGAGTATTATAGAGCTATAAAAAAGTTCTACTTCTAGATATACATTAACTTAACAAACAAGCCTTATCGAGACTTCTAACAAACAATTACATCGACCATGTTCGTGAACATATCTAGTGAAATTTTTTAAACTATCAAACAAGCTCGTTCACGAACATATCTAATGAGTATTCTTGAGCTATCAAGTCTAAGGCGACTCTCTCTAATCTTATCTTCTACTAGAGCTACTCCAACCTTTTCACATATATGCTCATTTCGTATCCTATCTCTAAGGGTAAATCCACTCATCCACCTATTGTTCATGTAACCGACCACATTTTGTGAGATAACAGCTTGTTATTGGTGTTGTTGTATGACTGCTTATTATAATTCTAAAGTTAATGATGAGAACTATATATGCAAGTGATGTTGATTTGAAAATTACATGAGCTTGAACAAAGCTTAACAATTTATTAACTCATAATGAACTTAAGCAATGACTTCAGTATGCACGGGGGCAATCAAATTTATGAAAACAATCACATGCTAATGGGAGGATTATAGGAAATACTTGAGTTCGCAAGTAACCCTAAGGGTAATTGAGTTCGCAAGTAATCCTAAGGGTACTTGAGTTCGCAAGCAAACCTAACAGAAATTGGTGAAAAACAGCAAGAAATCTTGCTGATTTCAGAGAAATCAGCAAGACGATGCATAAATTAAAAAAAAAAAAAACTGGAAAGAAACACAAGGAATCTTCTTCTATTCAATCCACGAACAAGAAAGACAAGTCACGATACAAGTTTCTACAATTCGAGAGGAAGAAAAACCTCTCCAAATCTCTAGCAACACCTAGAGCCCGAAAAGAACAAACCCCAGATCTCCAATCTCTCTTCTAATTTCCAGATAATCCAAACCCTAACAATACAAGACTAATTAAAGCAAACAATAAAAGTTAAATCCCTAAACAGCCCTTAATTTGAATTTTCCCTCCAATACAATATTTAATTAGTGTGTGGACCCCTCTACTTGGCCGCTTACCTCTATCTCTCCTTGTTCCACCCCCCTCTTGCCCTTCCGCTGTAGACAAGAACCGGTCTACTAGGGACCGATTCAGTTGGTTCAACCGGCCCAAGGGGGATAGGCCTAACATAGGACCATTAAATAACATATTAATTAATAACATGCTCACGTGGAATTTCAAAGACAATCCATAAGTTAACAAATAGGTTAGTCAGTATAAAAGCCCACTCACGCAATGGTCTTGGTGTGGGCTAAGCGAATAAGCTTTCACAATAAAACGATGTCACGATTGAGGAGGGATAAAAAAGATACAAGAAGAGGGGGGGGTGAGAGTATACCCACATGAAAGAAGATACTAAGCCATGGCGAAGTTGTTTGGATGCCTATGTGAAAAGGACAACAATATGAACCCACTTGCATGCCCGGACAACACTCTAATGTCTTCAGAAATTCTTGACAACAACTATGTGGGCGTCAAATCCTGGAACAACTGGTACTGGAGCTAGAAAATGGGTTGATCTTGTATTTCAGTAGCAGGCGGCTCTCTTTGGGATGATTTGGGAGGGAAACAACAAGCTCCTAGTATGATTTTTTTTTTTTTTTTTTGAAGGGGGGGGGGGGCACGTGCCCCCACAATCTGCCGTTGCATGTACGCTAAATGATTAGGGGGATGATTTGGGGCCTTAGTGGAGTTGCCAACTATAGCTTACTAGTTAAGGAAAGATTAATTAATTCATATTTCCAATCAATACTCAGATTTGCTGATGGGGATATCCTTCCAAACATAACCCAACAATTTATGAAAGGAATTCAAGGCTTGTAGGAGAATTCAAATTTGAATTCAAATTCCCGGGAAGGGGAATTAATAAGGAACTCCAATTAATATTCAACTTGATTGATTGAGATATCTTTCCAAACATAACCCAATAATTTGGGAAAGGATTTCAAGGTTCGAATTTGAATTTCATATTTTTCCAACATTAATATTAGGCTAATTTAGGAAGGGGAATTAATTGGTATCTCCAATTAATATTCAAATTAATTGATTGGGATATATTTTCAAACATAACCCAACAATTTGGTAAAGGATTTCAAGGCTCTAGGAGATTTCGAATTTGAATTTCAAAATTTTCAAAATTAACACTAGGCTAATTTATAAAGGGGAATTAATTGGGATCTCCAATTAATATTCAAATTGATTGGTTGGGATATCTTTCCAAATATAACCCGACAACTTGGGAAAGGATTTCAAGGCTTTAGGAGATTTCAAATTTGAATTTCAGATTTTTCCAAAATTAATGTTAGACTAATTTAGGAAAATGTTAGAGGATCAATTTAAAATTTTGGGGGGAAAGGGAAGAGAGGATCATGACGGTTTCGACCATGGGAACAAGGAGGTGGTCGGCGACTATGAGAGGGAGAGGGAAAGAGGTTCTGCATGGTTAAGGCTAGGAGGAGAAAGGAGTTGGTCGGTTGGAGCTTTGGGAGATGACAGTGGCAGCAAGCTTAATTGGGGGGAGGCGGAGATAAACCGTGAGCTCGAACGCTTCTTGCAACTGACGGGACTTATTTTACCCTCACCTAGGGACTTCACATAAACTCTCACAAGAACCCTCAGGGCTCTCAAACACACCTAGACACAGTGCAGAAATTTTCATTCATAATAATCATCATCCCTCATCCCTCCCAAGGGGGAGGTGAGGCCTATAAATAGACAAAATACAATAAAAATCAAATAATAAAAGTGCCCCCTGGGGTCACATAAACCTACTCCCTTAAGTGAGGGTAAAAACAAAAAGTTATACATAATAAATCAAATATAAATAATTGCTCAGAAATAGAGCAATCCAATCCTAGTGGTAGATCTCTGACACTTCCTCTGATAAACTTTTCATGGCCGGTTGTCCTCATCGTTCTCCTGGGATAGAAAAGAGCTAGACTTCATCAAGTATTCATCCCGGGTGCTCTCATAGATCTCTAGTACATCCGGGTCAATCCTCTGGTGCTCCTCGCGCTCTAGCCAAGTGTCCTCTGTCTCCAATTTACCTCTCCACCTTACCAAGTACCTTCTTCGTCCACCCTCTTTCGTGGAAATAATGTCATCGTTTAAAATCATGTCAACTTTCTCTGCAATAGGTGATTTAGGAATATTTAGAAGTGGAGATAGGCTTGGGTTCTCACATGGTGGGGTTACACAAGCCTCATTATGTAATGGATTCGGTGGGGTTAAACTTTGGGCCCTCATAGGATACTAGATCTTCAATGTTAAAATAGGGAAAAGCCATCTCTAGTCCGCTGGAAATTTTAAATTTCTGGTTGTCTTCCCACCGCAGTTACCATAGTTGAATTATGCTGGTTTTAATAGTTCATTTATTAACATACATGTATACTATTCTCAAACTGTTACATAAAACTCTAGCAAGAAGAAATTTAGGCCATTCATTCAGATTATGATCATAAATTACCTGACTTTTTTTTCAGCATCCTATACATTAGTTTAATCACCATCAAATGTTTTGGATTCAAGTTTGAAATGATGGCCTTTTAAATTACATAAATAATACAATGCATGGACAGGTCTTTGAGAATTAAGCAGCAAAAATTATTTCGATGCATTCTATCATGTTTCTATTCTACACTTCAGATTTATATATGAACAAATATGCTGCTTTAGTTGTCGGTTAAGATGAACATATTATCATAGAAGTGACTGCTATGTGATCTTACGCCAGTGCATTCTTAGTAATGACAAAAATGCTACATTCTTCTATCAAGGAAGTTGGTGATGAGAGATCACAGTATCGTAACAACTTTGTGCTAATTTTTAAGCAATGTTTCAGAAAAATGATAATAAAGCCAACATCTTTATAGCGCTTTCCATTAAAAAAGTATAGTATTCAAATTGAATAGAAAATACAGCTACTGACCTTGACAGTAATAGTCCCTCTGTCTTTCTTATCCTTTATCTTCATCATATCAAGTGAAGGTAGCAATCTAAGCTCAAATTCTTTGGCAATTTCAGCTTCCAAGTCAACCAACGGCAACTTGACTATACCCAATTTCTTATCTTGTGAAAGGTCATCTTCATCAAAAACCTGCAAATAACGGCATATACAATTGACATGATTTTAGCACAGCACCTAAAATACTAAACTTTCTTTTTATGCAAAAACTAGGATGGAAAATATTAAAAAAATTCATGAAGGACCAAATAAAGTTAAAATCATAATTCAAGCCAAAAGGTCAAGTCATTTCTTTAAAGTAGGTTTCACAAATCCTTCTTACAAGATATTTTATCCATAAATGTTTTTTAATGCAAAAAAAAAAAAAAGCTAACACATGCAATCCTTATTTCATATTATTTTATCCAGTAAGGTTCTAAGTATAAAAACGAGCATCTAGTGCAAGACTCAAAACATTCCCTACATAGGCAAAGTGCGAGGCAGTTTTGTTGTCAGCCAACGTGAGCTTTGGGAAGGATTGGAAGGAGCTGAAGTACATAATCATACTCTTCCACTAAGGAAATGCTATGTTTGTGATGCATAACCACCAAGTCAAATTGAAGGCAACCAAACCAAATTAACTTGAGGATTGAGAAATAACCAGTCAATGACAACCGTCACTACACTGCATCAATCTCTTTGCTTTCAAGCGTGATTCCTGAATCCTACAGTACGATGTCATTGATGAATCATTCTATCAACCTCTTTTTCAGAAATACAAGCCACTTTTGCATCAAAACCATGCAAATCATTTTTATAACAAGAATATATGATGGGGACATCAGAGGTTGGAGGGATTATCACCGTAGAGGCTGGAGATCTACAGTCTTGATTGAGTCTTTATATTTTTAGTTTTCATGTGTTGTAGGAGCTTTATGTGGTGTTATTTATTTTATTTCAGTTTTACCCTCACTTGAGGAAGCTTTTGCGTTGTTTGCCCAATGAACTTCTTGTCTTTTGTCCTTTTATGTTTTTGGAGCCTATATATATGGCCCATTGTTCTCTTGTATGGATGATGAATATTTTGATATAAATTTCTGGTTATATGCATTTTCTTCTCTTGGTGAGTTGAGTTTGTGTGTGAAGTCCTTTGGAGAAAGGCAAAGAAGTACACAACAACGTTTGAGCTCTTGGTTAGTATAATCTTCCATCTCTAACTTTTTTTTTTCCTGCTGCCCTATCCACCAAAACAGACTCCTAGCTGCAGCAAATTGATGCGCTCAACCAGCAACCAACTCCCTCCCTTCCTCTCATCCACCTTTACCTTCTCCCCAACATCACTGACCCTTGGGCTTCCCAAATTCTGCAATTAATTCATATTAATTGAGCATTTATCTCAATTAATTATGACTTTTGGAGATCCACAACCACTTTTACTTTTTCCCTTCCCAAGCAAGCCACATCAGCCATCTCTCTTCCCAAGCAACCAACCCCAACTCTTCACCTACCACTGACTTTTCCCTTTCTCAATCCAACTACTTCCCTTCCCCGCAAGTCACATCAGCACTCTCTCTTCCCTAAGCAACCATCCCCATCTCTTCATCTCCCAAGCTGACTTTTCCCTATCCCAAGCCAACTAATTCCCTTCCCAAGAAAACCACATTAGCCCTTTCTCTTCCGCAAGTAGCCAGCCCTCACCTCTTCACTTCCTAAGCTGAATTCTCCCTTTCCAAGCCATTAAAATCAGTCAAATCATTTCTCTCCTCACTATTCTACCTCTCCAAGGAAACTTAGTTTCTACTAATGCAACAAGGACATTGATTCAACAAAGAGCAAGGGTTTCAAGGGCAAGCCAAGGAGTAACTAGTCGTCACTCATCAAAGACTCTATTCCTCCCATTCATGAGCTAATTATCAAAACCTCCCATTCATCTAACTAAATATTGATCTTTTCATTTCATCTATAGTAGCATCATCTCATATGTGTTGATTAATCCGCCAGGTTCTACTTAAATTTGAGCAAACAAAACTCTAATAGCTAATCCCTTAATTAAATGTTGGACTTGTGTCAACTCATGTAAGCTAGTCTAAAATGATTCGCCTTTGTTATTATTTAGCATTTGCTTGTTAGTTTCTTACTATCACATGATTTAATAGTTCAAATTTTATTATTGTTCTTAATGTTTTTGAAGTTTATGTTGCTGTCTTTGATGTTCTCTTAGCTTAAAAACTCAATGCATGACTTATTTTGCTTAGTCCTGCTCCTTCATCAATATATATAAGAGAATGTTTCAGAAAAAGCCAAATCAATCAGGAGTTGGTGGCCATAAATTCTAAAAAATCATCTGGAAATAACATTAGATTAAAAAATTCAACAAAACATGCTAACATAACTGTAGTTAACAAACACCGATTACTGAAGAGTTGAATGATAGGATAATTAAAGATGAATATATTGAAGACGAACTCAAGAAATTAAATCATACTTCAAAGATGATACTCTGTGTTTCCTTGTCCTCAGCAAGAAGCTCAAACATTTCATTCCATACAGGGTTGAGATTGTTATTGATAACTTTTGTTTTGAACTTGAACACGGGGCGTATATACAAAACCACATAAGGATCAGATTTTCCAATCATTTCCATATTTTTCAAAGCGGTTGCTTTCATGACCGTGATGGCAATTCTTCCTTGGGGCTTGAGTTCAAGATCACTGCAAGGAAAATAGAGGGTATATAATCATCTTCAAAACAATAACAATTTGTTTAAAGAATCATACACTTAAGCATCTCTATTTTTCTTTTCTTTTGAAAAGCTGAAAAGCCCTCCTACTTAATAGAAATAGAAAGGATGCAAAGTCAGAGTTACACAATAGAGCTAGCCAATAAAAAAATTATAAGAGAAAGAAAGTTAAGCTCTAAAAAGATTTCGACATAAGATAAGTTTAAAGTTCTCATTCTCTCTAACATTTGATACTCATTGTCTTTATGACTAGATTCCATCCAAAAATAAGCTTGAGATTAAGTGTTGAACCAAAATTTTGGAGATCCTAAAGCTCAAATGGGATAGAAAAAATATTGGAAGGAATCATTCATAAAATAACATTCCACCAAAAGAAAGCAATCTTCAAAGGGACAAAGGCATTCCAAATCAAAGAATAAAGAATGATAATATCATCATGCACTAAGAAAAAATACAAGGAAAGGGCAACCAATTTGGAAAGTAATGTTTGAATTCAACCTAATCCGATTCAACTAATTATAAAGATTTGGAATACCATTAATTAGATGAACAAGGAGTGACCTTCTACGGTGAAGATGCCATCCATAAGAAGGGGGAAAAGAGACACCACAAAAAAAGTTAAAATTCCAAGCAATCTTAAAAAGGATAGTGTAAAGTTGGTTTAAGAAAATTTCTAGATCCAAACAACGCTCCAAAATTTGATTTTTTGCAATGTTATTTATATTCCAATAGATGAGATAAAATAAATTCTTAGATGCTTTCCAAACATCCTTAATAAAATGAGAGAAATGAGTGTCTTTACCCCTCCAAAAATCAGTAGAACAATTCTACAAATATTTTCTTCGTAAGATGTAACTTGGTAAAGAGTTATAATCCACATGAATAGATTTTTAGAGCCATTTAGAAATAAGGAAAATATTGATTGTATGGAGATCTAAAACACCAAGCCTAAATAATTTTTTGAGTCTATATATATTCTTTTAGCTGATTAGGGAGGCCTCAACCTTCACCATTTCCTTTCCACAAGAAACTTCTTCTAATAAAATCAATTTTGTAGGTCGCTCAATTTAGAATCCAGAAGAAAAAACAAAAATTACAAGGTGATAAAGATAATAGATAATTAAAACAAGCCTCCTGTCTTTAAGGGAGGAATTTGCCTTTTAAGGCAGCAATGTTTCTCTGAATTTTGTTGATAAGGCGAGTCCAGAAATCTTTTTGCACCACTTTACAACCTAAAAGAAGACCAAAATATGAAAGGAAATGTTCCAAGATAAGTTAAGGAATGTTTGATAAAAGAACCTTGTTGACCCGTAACTGTATCCAAAAAGCAAAAAAAATAAAATAATTGCGTACCTGTCCGGCGCCGAATTCAGCACGTCGTCGCCCACGACCGGATGTCCCTCTATATCGCAATCTCCCGCTCTCTTTCTCTCATTCCTTCACTCGACCTCGCTCCCTAACACGCATCTCTAAAAACCCGACTCCTTTTCCCTGTCCGAGCGGAAGTTACGACATTTTGATCGGAGGCAACGAAGGGAGCTCACTGCAATGGTAACTTTCTCCCTTCCAGCAGCTTCTTCGGCTCCTTTTGGCCGATCGACTTCGCCCCTTGCACGACTGTCCCTCCCCGTTAGATCGGAAGTTAGGACACTTTGATCGGAAGCGGACGGGAGCTCCGCATGCTGTGAGTGATCGGGAGCTACAACATTTCGATCGGAGGTGACGACGGGTGCTCTCCGGCCCTGAAGGAAGCTTTCTCCCTTTCGGTCGCTTCTTCGGCTCCGCTGCAACCCCTCCGACGCTGTTCGACTTTGCTCTTCCACGACTTCCCCTCCTATTGGATCGGAAGTTACACATTTTGATCGGAAAGCCAACGGGAGCTCGTTGGTCGTGAAGTAACCTTTTCCCGTTCACGCCCTTCTTCGGTTCTCCCGTGGCCGGTCGACTTTGCTCCTTAGACAACTTTCCCTTCCTGAACGGATCGGAAGTTGCGGCATTTGATCGGAAGCCAGTACAGGAGCTCGCGGCTGTGCAGGCAAGTTCTCCCTACCGCACGCTTCTTCGGCCGATCCAGAGAGGGAGAGAGGGTGAGAAAATTTTATATATAATATTATTTATTTATTATTTATTATAATTTTTATTAATTATGTTTAATAATTATTTAATTATAATAATAATTAATCATCTAATTATAATTAAATTATAATTATTAATTAATGATTAATTATAATTAATCAATGATTAATTATAATTATAATTAATTTATTAATTATAACTATCTAGTGATTAGTGGTTAATTATTAATAATAATTACTTAATTATTATTATAATTAATGTAAATTATAATAAAGAATATTGATAAAAAAAAGAGTGCTCCTCCCGCCTCGATCCTCGAGTCGACAGTCGCCGACAATCCCCGCCGGGCCCTAAGGTATAAATTCTAACTTAAATCCCGTCCTCGGCGTTTGCAGCGGACCGGGGAACCACCTATACGCGCTCTTGTAGCACGGTAGGAGGGAGCCCGGTGCGAAGCATACGACGAGGCGGGTAAGCCCTATACACGCTCTTGTAGCGTGGTGGGGACGGTCCTCGACCTCGACACCGACACTGCCGACGACTGCTACGCAAAGGTATGATGGT